GATTGAAAATGATCCCAAACTATTTTAAGCTCAGAAGGAACTTCAGTGTCCCAGTCAATTTTTAGACGCCATAATGATTGTAAAATTAATTTTGCTTTAACTAAAACGGGACCTATTATGCCCAATGGATCGAAAATTTGAGCGATTACCGACAAGATGTGCCTTTTGGTCACCTTGTTGTATTCCAAAAAATTCATATTTAACCGGGGTTGCAAAGTATCCTTAACAGAATTCCAACATATTCCTAAAGTTTTATGGTTTTCACCTACTTCTGCTATGTAATGCTCTATAACCTGATTCTGATTTCCTTCTAAAATCGAACATTCATTAGACATCCATTTTCTTAAGACCATACCCGCTGAGCTCAAAATTTCACTAATTTCATTTTTTAAAATTTTAGCTTCCTCCACCGTGTTCGAACCCGAGAGTAGATCATCCACGTAGAAATCTTCCAGTATAGACCTAGATGCTTCCCTATAAATACCATGAAAGTCTTCAGCCAATTGTACTAAACATCGTACAGACAAAAAAGAAGCCGGACCTGTTCCATAGGTTACCGTATTTAACTTATATATCTCCATCGGCCTCTCTGGAGAAAATCTAAATATTATCCTTTGGAGATCTCGTTGATCTTCTTTAACAAATACCTGCCTATACATCTTTTCTATATCGCCCGAAATAACAACCTGATATTGCCGAAACCGTATTAAAATATTAAATAAGTTGTCTTGTAATTTGGGTCCAACCAATAATATGTCATTTAATGAAACGCCACTGGCTGATGCTGCACTAGCATCAAAAACCGTTCTTAATTTTGTAGTTTCTGATGTTTCTTTTAAAACCCCGTGATGCGGCAAATAATATGTATTATTATCCCCACAAGATTCCAGATCTGTCAAATTCCCAACCCTTGACATATGACCCAAATCCAAGTAAGTTTTCATAAAATCAAAATACTGCTCTTTCAAACATCTATCCCTAAAAAACCGTTTTTCTAATTTCTCAAACCTATTTAAAGCCGTATTCAAAGAATTACCCAAATTACCTCTATTTTCTTTCATTGGAAGTTCTACAATGAACCTACCATTTCCGTCCCTAACTGTAGTGTTCCTAAATATTTCCTCACACCGAATTTCATCCTTACTAAATTTCCTTTCATCAGGAAATTCTTCTAACATCCAAAATTTTTCGAGTTGCCCCTGTATTTCCAAATTGGTGCTCAAATGGCTCACTTGTTTATTTCGTCTACCCTGAAATTCAATGGGTCCCGCAATAACCCAACCAAGTTTCGTATTTTGAATTTTAGGCATATTTTTTCCCATAGAATGATGCCCTTCACTGATTAGGTCCCAAAACACTGCTGAACCTAAAAGAATATCAATTTTACCCGTATGTCCAAGCCTTGTATCGGCTAATTTTATATTTTTTGGAATATTTAATGCCGATAAATCAATTTTAAAAGAAGGAATATTATCAGAAATTTTATTAATTATAAGAAAACTGGCGACAATTTCGAAAGTCTCACAAATTGAACTCACCTTTGTTTGAACATATGAATTAATATTCGTACTATTTTCACCCAAACCTAAAATTGTGATGTTCATGCGCTTTCTAATAAGCCCTAGTACATTTTGTAATTCTGAAGTCATAAAATTTGACTGAGATCCCGAGTCCAATAGCGCCCTAACTCTATGCATTTTTCCATTAAAATCAAAAATATCAACCATTGCTGTAGATAATAAAATTTCCGAGTTTTTAGGTACACTCAAAAACAACGCCGAATTTGTATTTTTGCGCTCCCCTACCGAATTGTCCTTATCATTATTATTTTCCTGACTATCGACATGTAATAAAACATTATGTTTTTTATTACATTGTTGACATGCCCTATATGTACAATTACTTACTCTGTGTCCTGGTTTTAAGCAATTCCAACAAACTTTTGATTTTTCCACAGCCTCCCGCTTTCCCACTAAATTTAAACCCAAAAATTTCTTACAGAGATATAATTGATGGAATTCCTTGGATTTGCAAACCGGACAACTTGTGTTTTCTACAAAAAATGATCTAGATGTGCCCTTTTTACCCAAAAATTTATGTGAAAAATCTGTATTTCCTTTGGACATCCTTTTTTCCTGTAATCGCAACAACTCTGTATTATTTTCTGTATTTTCTGGCTGAATTAATTTGCACCTATGCGATAGAAAATTCAAGAATTTGTCCATAGTAGGAAATTCGTTCAACTTTATTTCTCTTTTCCATGCTCTTTTACTGTCTGGATCTAATTTCTTTTCTAAACTAAAGATCAGAATTGTGTCCCAATTATCTACGTTTTGCCCTAGAGCCTTCAAACCCCGAATATTTTTTCTAATTTCATTTAAAAACCTAGTCAACTGCTCGTGTGACTCTTTTTCGATTAATTGGAAATCAAGTAAAGCTTCTAAATAACTATAAGTAATAATTTTCTCATTTTCATAAGAATCCTTTAACAAGTCCCAAGCATTTGCATAATTATTAGACGTAATTTGCATATTGCTTAATAAATCCGCTGCCTGACCAATCAAAGCATTTTTTAAATAATGAAACTTTTGCAAAGTGTTCAGTTGTTTGTTATCATCAATCATAGAATTAAATGACTCTTTAAAACCGAACCATTCTTTACACGACCCATCAAATTTAGGAATATCAATAGGAGTTAATTGTACTTTGCCACCAGATGCCAAGCTACTTTGTCCTACATTTGAAGTTGAGAGTTGTGATTGGCCTTGAAGATTCTTTTGCACTTCGTGCTCTAAAATTAACTTTGCTTTGGAAACTATATCAAAAAACTCGTCTTCGAATGACAACCTTTGTGCCTCTTGTCTCTCCAAATTCGCTGCATCCAACTCTTCAATGCAAAACTGAATGCTCTGAAAATCACTCCACCACTCATCACATTTCTCAACCCTTCCCTTAATTTGTCCCAATTTACTATTATCAAAATTTAAAACATGGCTCTCTAATCGCGTCAATTGGGATCTTATAATACCTCGTTTTCTAATTAATTCTGCCAAAGAAAAGTTTGAATAATCTGTCATTTTTTAGCTAGGTAATCAAAATCAAAATATCAAAATTAAAAAAGTATTTTTAGACCAATAAAATTATTGCCCAAACAAGGTCAATACTTACAATTGTCTCGTCCTGTTTTCCTTACCGTGACCCACAGCCGTACCTGTGAAGCCCTAAAATACCCAACTGCTATTATCCGTACCATCCACTACCTAGGAGCCGATCTCCAATTCTTCAACTTTATTCAAGTATTTTTGTTCCAATAACCAATTATTAGGGTCGCCTGCCAAAAAGCACCTACAAATCCGGTTCGTATCGGACCAATGTTTTGTTCCCTAGCCGATGGTGTCTTTTTCTTCCAGAATTAAAACAACCAATCGAAAATTAAGTGGACTGTATCATCAAATTAAACATTACTTTTTTATTCTTTTTTATAATTCTATGACAATTACAATGAATCAAAATGACAAATTGACAAACACCTAACAAATTTTTCTCACATAGGTAATGAGATGTAACACTTCCTTTGAAATCAGTTCGTTACGAAAAATAGTGCTTTTCCCAACTGGTTGCACCAATAGGTAACTATTTTTTATTGTTATTTTGTTTTCAAGTTAGAGTAGTTTCATTGTTTATTGTAGGTTTGGTTTATTCTTTTGCTCTTTTTATTTGCTTAATATGTTAAATTATTAAATAATTTATATTTACTTAATTTGAAGATTACTATAAATCATATTATAGGATGTTTCTTGCAAAACGAAACAGAGAAAATATTTTTTTCCACTGAAATATAAACCGATTTTCGAAAAATTGCGAGACTTTTCTTTTGATTTGTATAATATTCAAATTTTGAGGATAAAACTTGCACTCCTGTTTTATTTTAAAAGAAACAACCTTTATACACGTAGGTATTTGAAACATTGTTGAAAAAAAAAAATGAAAAGGTACCTACATAATAAAAACAATAAATATCCTTTCTTTTATTGTATTCTTACCTTTATTTAAAGTCTAGCAAAAGTTGAGAGAAGAATAGAAAATATTTGGAAGGATTATTTCTTGACTCACATAAAGAATTACCCAATACTTAATCCAAAAATAAATAAGTATATGGCCAAGAATTATAAAACTTTTATCAAAAATACTTATTCTTAAATTAAGTATAGTAATAAGAATAAATTAATTATTATATCAATGATATATAAGACGAACAACAAAGGCCCCAATACACTTTCCTGAGGTACACCATAATTATTTCTCTCAGTTGATAACTTCCCACTCAACCTAACCACTTGCTTACGATCCACAAGGTAACTATCAATCCATTTCCATACCCTTCCACGCAATCCTAGTTTATACAGTTTCTCTACTAATCTGTGTCTATCGATTGCTTCAAATGCTCTCTCAAGATCCAAGAAAACTGCAAATATACCACAGTTGTTATCTAAGCCATTTTCCCATTCATCCATCACACATTGTATGGCTGTTTCACAACTGTGCTTTATTCGGAATCCCGACTGGTTAACTGTTATCAAGTTATTACTTTCCACAAAATCAATTATTTGCATACATACCACCCTTTCAAGAATTTTTTCCACTGACGGCAGCATATTTATTGGTCGAAAATTGGAAGCTACATTCAGATTAGGTTTCTTTTGAATTGGCACTACAGTAGACAGCATCCAGCATCAACTTAGCAGAGACAATACCTATTTTTAACGAGAAATTGATTGTATTAATTAAAGGCGCTTTAATTCACACATAGAGGTTTTTTGTTTAAGTTGTAGAAGCCGCACTAATTCAATTCAATCAATTTCAATTCAATTTATTCAATTATAATATAATTACGTTTATACTTATAAGGAACAGACCCTGTATATATAGTTTTTGAATTAATTTGAATACCAAAGAAGGTAGGTACCTAATAGAAATATTAGTTCATTCAGATAGTATAAGAAAATATGAGAAGATTATTTCTGAATCTATAAAAATTTTCAAGGTGCTATTGAAAATAACGTTGCTAACTAGTAACCCATTCAAGGTAAAAACGGAATGCACATGCAATTACTGTTGATGTTATTATTATAATATGCACTTATAGTTACAATTTCTTGTAGTTTGTTAATAATCGTTTTCAGGAACACCTAAGAAATGAAGGACGCCGCAAAAGTGCAATTGCACGTGTTTGGTGCTTACACAATTTTAGCTGCTTTAGTTATGGGTGATAGTAATGCAGGAACTAATATCGGTGAGTGCGGGTATTTGGATTTCTGTATCGCTTATAATGTTGTGGTTTCACTGGCAATTTTGTTAATTTATGTGTTTACTAACCGCTTCCCTTTTAGAAAAGTATCCAGAGTTATTTGCAATGGACAATTATTATAAATGCATGAAAAATGAGAGAAATTTATATTGTACTGGCATTTTAAAATTAATTCCAAAGGATCACACTTCAGAATTTTGGAGCGAAATAGTGGTAAGAAAATCATGGAAAATATTCTTCCAAAACTTCAAATAAATCTTCTTAGAAACGAAGCCTCCATTCCTCAAATTTTAACAGGACCATCGTATATAGGAAACTATGTATACCAGAAAGCTTTACAAAAAATTACGCATTTAAGAAAAAATTCATTGAAAACACCACAAATAATGAACTATTATCTCATAACTTAAGCTCCCAAGTATTTGATATACAATGTAAGAAGGAAATGATCTTCGGGATGAGTAATAGCAGCATATTGTAAGCTATTTCTAATTTCAGTCCGTTTAAATTATCATTCATATTGGTTCATTTTTAGCGGCATTTCAGCTATATACATTGGTATAGTAATGATTGCTACCTTATACGAAGGAGTCTTTCTCAGAAATAGAAGACCAATATCAAGTAAGTTTAATTTTCCATCTGAAGTTTGATAATAGATACCTATTTAGGTATAAATAATAACAGTATAGTATTTTCCTCGGGCGCTTCGCACCCTCGCGCCGGAAATCTCTTCCCGCACGGGTGCGGGAAAAAAGTCTTCCCGCACAGCAAATCGTGCGGGAAGAGCCATTTTCCGCACGCTCCTAGAAAAAATAATATTCATAATCTATTTATATATCTTTATTGAATTAAACCAAGGAAGCTTTGTTATAGAAGAGTCTCACTGAAATTGTTGCTGATCTAATAAGTTATTTTGCCTACCTACATTGAACAATAATACCTTTAATGTTCTAGAAGAAATATTTAATATATCCAGGATACGGCCACGAGATTATTTACCAAGCCATAACTTGGGCACGGAAATCGATTTCAAACTTTGGGGATATTATACAGGGTATTCCAAAAGAACCGGAACGGTCAAATATCTCGGCAGCGGCGTGACATAACGGTATGAAATTTGGTATACGGGGATTCTGAATAGTGCCGGATCCAAAAATGATATTTGCAACGTTGGCGGTATTATGGTTTTTCTGATAAATCTCTCAACTTTATTTTTCTAAATGCAAAGCTACAGTAATTTTTCTTTCAAAATGTTGGTCAAACTAAAGTAATTTCAATACTAAAATATCAAATTTTTTTTTTGTAGTTTTTAAAAGATATGGCAATATTGCATTTTCATTTAAAAGAACTGAAATGGTAAAATATCTTAGCAACGGCTCAATACAACGTTATGACATTTGGTATACAGGGGTTTTTAAAAGTGCCGGATGTAAAAATATTATTTGCAACGTTGCCAGTTCTACAGTTTTTTCGATAAATCTCTCAACTTTGGATTTTTCAATGCAAAACTATGGTAGTTTTTCATTTAAAATGTTGGTCAAACCAAAGTGTTCATAATCCTAAAATATCAAATTTTTCTCTTGTGGTTTTTAAAAGATATGGCAATACTCCATTTTCATTTAAAAGAACTGAAATAGTGAAATATCTTAGCAACGGCTTAATACAACGGTATGACATTTGGTATACAGGCAGTTTTAAAAGTGCCAGATCTAAAAATAATATTTGCAACGTTGCCAGCTTTACAGTTTTTCCGATAAATCTCTCAACTTTAGTTTTCTAAATGCAAAGCTATGGTAGTTTTTCATTTAAAATGTTAGTCAAATCAAAGTGTTTTTAAGTCTATATTATTAAATTTTTCTTTTTCGCATTTTGAAAGATATGGCAATAATGCATTTTCATTGAAAAGAACTGGAACGGTGAAATATCTCACCAATGGCGTAACAGAACGTAATATTATCAGAGTGCGATAAAATGTCTTATGAAACGAATATTTTATGCTATTTTTTCTATTTTGGTATTGTTTAATTAAAAAAAACAATTTTTTCTTGGAAATTTTATTCTCATATTTTCTGATTTCATATGTTTAGGTTGGTAATACTACATGCCAAATATAGAAATCTTCTATTATTTTTTATCGCGAATGACAGTTCGATGGCCATCAGTCAGCCAGTGTTACCAACCTTCGATAAGTAAAAAAGGAATGTCACAAAGAGTTTCTTTTCGAAACTACTTTTAGTGTCGAAAAGACTTCGATATGACACCAAAATAGGAAAAAATATTTTAAACACTTAAAAATCCATAACTTCGAAAACTAAACAATCATTGGAATTCATACTTGTGAGGTAGAACAGCTTCAGAAGAACTCAAAAACTGTCTTCGACTTTTTCAAAGTTTTAATTTTTTCTTGTATTTTTATTTTTTTTTCTCAAATTTTGACATGTTCTTGTATGATATCCAATTGCTCAGTAACGGATGTCTTTGAGTTTAAAAAACCTAAGGTGGTGGTGTTTGACTATTACGGTATAGAATGGTTTTTCTGTTAAGTGAAGCTGAACGGATTGAAATATTGATCTATCGTGGTTACGGTGATGAAATGAGAAGCTATCAAGAAGTAGTTATCCACCCAGAAAAGCAAATTAAAAAATCTACAGTTTTTCGAACCATAAAAAGATACCAACAAACAGGAAATGTAAGGACAATGCCGAAAACTGGACGCCCTAAAACAGCCACTACAGATGAGAATAAGTTGAATATCTTATTATCATTAGAGGAGAATCCTAAACTGTCTATAACCGAACAGAAACAAAATTTACCGGAGAATGTAAGTGAATCTTCACTGCACAGGATTTTGAAGCAAGGAAAAATTAAACCCTTTAAATTAATGTTTACTCAAGAACTTTTGGAAGATGATCCTGACCGCCGCATTGAGTTTTCTGAGATCATGATGAATAAAATTAATAACCACCCGAACTTCAAAAACCAAATACTGTTTAGTGATGAACCGAATTTTTGTTTAAATGGGCAGGTGAACAGACATTATTGTAGGTTCTGGAGTGCAACTAACCCTCACTGGATAGAAGAACTACATACAGAGCATTCACGGAAACTGAACATTTGAGCAGAGATTAAAGGCAATAATATTATTGGACCATTTGTTATCGATGGAAACTTGACTAGTGAAAAATACCTACGACTTCTGCGAAGAAATGTAATTCCTAAATTGCAAGAGTTGATTGAACATTGACATCCATCAAATGTGGTTCCAGCAAGATGGGGCTCCTTCCCATTTTGCACAGGAAGTCCGAGACTTTTTGAACGAGGTATTTCCAGATAGATGGATTGGACTAAGAGGATCGATAGAATGGCCAGCACGCTCTCCGTATTTGACCCCCATGGACTTTTTCATTGGGGACTTTTGAGAGATAGGGTGTACAGAAACAAACCACTAGATTTAGATCAATTGCAAGAAAGAATTTTATATGAATCCAGTCTTATTACCCCAGAAATATTAAATAATATAGTACACGTGAGTTTTATGACAGACTTGGATATTGTTTGGCAAATAATGGCCAACATTTTTAACCCTTGATACGTTAGGGGCCGATAATTTTGCTCTCGATTATCGAATTTGATACGTTGTCAAAGTTTTGCATAGGCCAAGGTCTATAAGTATGATGTGGTTATAGCACATTCTAACCTCTGATTATTTTTAACGGCTTTTAAATGAGAGGAAAAGTACCGGCACTAAGTCTTTAGTTTTGTCAAGCTTTCCGACGACCTAGTTGTTTTTGTAGAAATATTAATAGGAACATTGCTAGAATCAGGCAAATAAGAATTTCATGTCAAGTTGAAATTTCTATTTTACCAATTGGGTCCAAAAAGGTATTAAATGATTCGTAATTTAGTTATCTTTTAGGATTGGATATCATACGGGCCACGGGAACATGTCAGAATTTAAGAAAAAAAAAATGAAAGTAGAAAAATATATTGAAATTTTGAAAAAGTCGAAACACAGTTTTTGAGTTTTTCCGGAGCTGTTCTACCTCATTAAGTATGAATTCCAATGATTGCTTAGTTTTCGAATGATGGATTTTTAAGTGTTTGAAATATATTATCCCATTTTGACGTTCAAAAATGACATTATTGAACGCATAACAATAAAGGTAAGTAGACGTTTATCACCTCAGTGATTTAAAAACATTTTGATTCACTCTCGGCATTTTACGTCACTCTGCCCAACTAAAAATCTGAAACCTCCGTGATATATTTAACTGACTCCCGGCATTTTTCCTTCTATTTTATTTTTAAATATTTCACAAAATGGGATAAAATTTTGTATAAATCACGTGAGTTAAAATGTTTATTCATTCGAAAAAAATTAACCCACTCGCTAGGGCTCGTGGGTTGAACTTTCTTCTCATGAATAAAAATTCATTTAACTCACTTGGTGTATAAATAACTAGTATACATCACGTGAGTTGAAATGTTTATTCATTCGAAGAAAAGAAACCCAAGGCTCGTGGGTTAAACTTTTTTCTCATGAATAAACATTCATTAAACTCACTTGGTGTATAAATAACTTTTATAAAAATCGGAACTTTAATAAAAATTTTCTGAAATTTCAAAAGTCCATAATTTAAACACTTAACTGAATAATTTCTAATAATATTACGTTATGTTACGGCGTTGATTGGTGAGATCTTTCACCGTTCCAGTTCTTTTAAATGAAAATGGATTATTGCCATATCTTTAAAACTTCGAAAAAGAAAAAAAATAATATTCTAGACTTTGGTTTGACCAACATTTTAAATGAAAAACTACCATAGCGACGCATTTAATTTGAAAGATTTATCGGAAAAACTGTAAAACTGGCAACGTTGCAAATATTATTTTCAGACCGGCACTTTTAAAAACCCCTGTAGGTATACCAAATGTCATAACTCATAACGTTGTATTAAGATTAAGCCGTTGCCAAGATATTTTACCATTTCAGTTCTTTTAAATGAAAATGCAGTATTGCCATATCTTTTAAAAATCACAATAGAAAAATTTGATATTTTAGGATTGTAAACACTTTGGTTTGACCAACATTTCAAATGAAAAACTACCATAGTCTTGCATTGAAAAAACTAAAGTTGAAAGATTTATCGGAAAAACTGTAGAACTGGCAACGTTGCAAATATTATTTTTAGTTCCGGTACTTTTAAAAACTCCTGTATAGCAAATATCATAACGTTGTATTGAGCCGTTGCTAAGATATTTTACCATTTCAGTTCTTTTAAATGAAAATGCAGAATTGCCATATCTTTTACAAACCACAAAAGAAAAATTTGATATTTTAGGATTGAAAACACTTTGGTTTGACCAACATTTTAGAAGAAAAATTACGGTAGATTTGCATTTAAAAATATAAAGTTGAGAGAAAAATATAAAACCGGCAACGTTGCAAATATCATTTTTGGATCCGGCACTATTCAGAACCCCCGTATAACAAATTTCATAACGTTATGTCACGCCGCTACCGAGATATTTGTATTTTACGAGGTACCTATGTATACTATTTTATTCACAATCATTCGAATTATGAAATTTTCATTTGAATTAAAACTAATAAAATACAATAATTAACAATTTCATTTACTTTCGGCCCACGGGAGGAAAGTAAACTTTCGACCCGTGGGCTGAAAGTAAAAGTAAAAAAAAAACAATAAATTTCAAATATTTCATTTCGACCCGTGGGCCGAATGTAAAAGTCAAAAAAGTGACATTTTCAAACTTTTTAAAAGTCAGTAAAGTCAACATTACATGTATGATTGTAAATAATAGTATATTACATACCGAGGTGGAAAGTGTTTCATTACTGTCGAGAGATTTTAGTTAGACCGAGGCACAGCCGAGGTCTAACTAAAATCTCGAGACAGTAATGAAACTTTTCACCGAGGTATGTATACTATTTTATTTACAATCATTCGAATTTTGAAATTTTTATTTGAATTAAAACTAAAAAATACAATAATTGACAATTTCATTTACTTTCGGCCCATGGGTCGAAAGTTTACTTTCGACCCGTGGGCCGAAAGTAAAAGTCAAAAAATACAATAAATTTTAAAAATATCATTTACTTTCGGCCCACGGGTCGAAAGTAAACTTTCGACCCGTGGGCCGAAAGTAAAAGTCAAAAAAGTGACAATTTCGAACTTTTTAAAAGTCAGTAAAGTCAACATTACATGTATGATTGTAAATAAAAGTTTTTGTTTTCTGAAAAACTCGGGAACTTGAAGGTTTTCCACTGCTTCGTCAAAAGCACTGATTGTTGCGACCGTGACCATGGGAGTAGCTTGGCTAGAAGAGGTCATTTTGGCAGGCTGCACTGGTGAAAGTTGCTGACTAGTAGAAGGAGCAGCGCCAGCGTCACTTAAGTTAAATATTTTATTGGATAGATGATTTCGGATACTTGTTGAACTCTCTGGATTTCCAACCTCCGAGACTTTTGATACTTGTTACGCCTTCTCCCGGAACGTTGGAAACTGTGGCCTGTATATGATTCAGGATTTGGAAGCTTCAGATAATTTGCAGAATGTTCCTACGCATAAGTGCGTCCATGAGTGATGTTGGAACTTTATTCAACGTTCCCTGTGTCTGCCCAGCGACTCTGTGTCTACGGGGCAACGGTAAGGGGAATGCAGTTGTAAAAAAAATGGCTGATTTCATTCATAAAATACCCAGCTGCGTGCGGAACTTTTTGGAAATGTTATCGTATTGCAACTCGTACACGAAAATCGACAATGACCAAACCGCCGCCACTGGATATTTCAATATAAATCGATATTCCAAGATGGGAGGATAAAATGACAAGAGCCCTGGCCAATAGCGAGACGTAAGGTGACGTTAGCCCACTGACAATTGCATGGTTGCCCCTGGCAATGGCAATCCTGCCAAAAACTCCACTAATCAGGTTCATCCAGGCCGGATCCTTGTCAAATTGTCAAAAGCTGATGGATTCTTTAGGAAATGTTTATTTTTTACAATAGACAAAATTGAAGAAATCAGTTATTAAAATAAGCATAGATCTAACAACCACGTTGAAATATTTAGCGTTTTATTGTTATCTACATTTTGTTATTAAAAAATGGATTTTCAAAAGAACTATACTTCATGCCTATACTAAATCCAACGAAGCTACGGAGTGCACCAAAACATTGTCATGCATAGTGCACGTGATCCCTCAGGCGAGGCCTGGGCAGATGTGCTTGTACAGAGTCGCACTCGCACTTAGGGACCATCGAAATTTTATCAAATTTTATTAAATACCTAATATGCGACTAGGTATGGAAAAATTACTCAAAGGTTAACTAATAAAGAAAAACAAAAACCATTTTGTATATACATATAACATTTAATGAAGTACAAAAAAATGGGGACATTTCTATTTTAGGAGGACAATTGATAAACGGGTTAACAGTTTTCGATTTCAAAATTATGTTTATTTAATACTAGCGCAAAAATAATAAAAAATAATGATAAAATAATAAATACTTTTGTCATTTTAGTCCAGTTACTCAGAATCCGAAGAACTGCTAGAAGATTCATTAGGATTAATTATTATCGGATTTCTATCAACTAATTCATCAACTATGTGATCTAATTCTAACATTTTCACTTCTACCTTATCTTTTACATGTCCTACGCAATCATTCCATTTTTCAGCAGTGATAGACAAAACAGCTTCACTGAAAATATTTTTAAGATCGCAAAATTTAAAAGTAACATTTTTGTTTGCAACATAGTTTTTTATGTCCGCCCAAATAAGCTCTATTGGGTTGAGCTCGCAGTGATAAGGGGGAAGACGTAATACTACTCTATTATGTGCTTTAGCAATTTCGTCGACAATGTATTTATTATATTTGGTTTTATGTTCCTTCACTTTCTGCAAAAGTTGTACTTTTATCATGCTATCCTCGAATGGTATACTTTTCGAACGCAACCAGTCTTGAATTAGGGCTTTTTTTGTGGCTGTAGTTGGAATTTGTTCAGCTTTTCTTGAATGGTATGGGGCGTTGTCTAAAACAATTACACAATTTTCTTCTAGGTTTGGAATTATGTTGGTAAACCAATTTTCAAACGATTTGCCGTCCATTTCCTCATGATCGTCGGGTACAAACCCGGTTTCGCTTCCTATGTGACACACTATCAACCTTTTTCCTTTTCCTGAAACAAGATTTATTTTGTTTTAGTTGAAACAGAATATTAACATGCATAAAACATATTTTTTGGACTAATTCCTGAATAAAATGTGCTGCGAGGCAGACAAAAAAAATTTTTGATTTAATCGTGTCCAACCAAACACAAATAATCGAAAACCAGTTACCAAAGACATACTTAAAATTTCATACTATACCAACACATTTTCGTTGTTACCTGAATTTTAACTAATTGATCGAACGGTAAGATGAAACCCTTCCAATTCTCTACGATTTTAATGAATACAGAAAATAATTAATAATAAACTTTCTTGGAAAATACACAGGTAGATACATACTGTGGGTCTATTTTTCATAGCTAACAAGTAATTTTAGACCCTTTTTGACCATCGCTTACTAATAGGTATTGGTACCTACAAATCGAGGTTTAGGCCATAAAGTTATTGTAAACCAAGTAGAATACAATTACTTTATGGCCCTAATCCTCGATCAACAGCAATGAAATAGACTATACCAAATTTTAAATCAATACCTAATCCAAATGCAAATTGTCTTGTTCACAGACACACACGTTAAGGTTAAGAGTTTAATAAGGTCTTCCCTGATGGGTTCTTTAACCCAGTTGAGAGGCCATCTAAGAAGGCTTGCCTTGAAGAACCTACGGATTCATCAACCCAAATTTTAGACTTAGTGTGGCCTGCGTTCACCCACGTTTCATCCAGGTAGTAAATTTTCCTATTTTCTCTTCTATAGGCCCGTATTTTCGTTAAATAATCTCGTCTCCACAATACAATTTCTGGTTTCTCGAGCAACAAACTATTTCTCCCTCTTTTTTTAAATTTAAAACTCAATTCTTTCAACAACTTGTGGAATGTCGACCTTTCGAAATCTGGTAGATCAGGATCATCATTTACATCTTTGAGAATTGAATCTATTGTTGGCATTTGGTTCCGGAAAAAAAATTGATGTACTTTGCTTCTGATAGCGTTTTTATCAAAATCGTCTACCCTGTCAATAATTTTCTTTCGTAAGGGGTATGGCTTTGAATCCGAAAATAATTGCTTTTGTTTAGATTCTCTCATAACGGCATAAACACCACTTGGAGACACTCCAGCAATGTTTCCTACTTTTCGCACGATTTCATCAACTAACAATTCGGGATTTGCTTCGACTTCATTTTTGTAAATGTTCATAATTAAATTTTTTTAATTACTATTGAAAGGCACTTTTTTTGGTCTCTTTTGAGGTGGTGTGTTGAAACACATATTAGCAGCTTCTTCATCCGACATTTTAATAATTTAAAACTTTAAAACTAATAAAAAAAATCACTACTAAATATCCCGTAAAATGTAACACCACCGATCGTTAAAACGTAAATGACCATTCCGACCATGTAACGATTAGGCCAAAAGCAATAAGTTCCCCTACCTTGGAAGTCCCCTACAGATTGCAGGTAAATCCGATTGGCCAGCGTGAGGGGTTTGTTTATTTTAGCCCAATAGATGCAAAGCCACGTGCCGATCATGCTTCGATCACGCACGGAAAGTGTTTTGGCCCGCTTTTTTGGTTCCATGGATATAGTATAGAATTCTCGCTTTTTTTATAATTAAACGTGGCAACATCGCACATTTACGTCCGAATTCCTTTCGTAGACTCAGATCCGCTGGGCAAACAATATGTACTCGATGTCCTCTACAAACAATATTTTTTTCTTAAAAATAATTGCCTCATCTCATCCTCTTTGACAGTGCCTACCGCAAATTTAGGCCAAATGTTAAGATGTGATGGCTACGGACCACGGAGCACCATCTTAAAAAACGTTAACTCCTATGAATTCTAACTATTTAGATTTTCAATTTTTAGTTTCTACTCTTTATATCATTAGCTTTCTTTTTAGTAGACAAATGGATCCGTTGTTTTTCATTGACATCAAGTTGGAAAAAAATTACCCAAAGCCGAAGTGAAGATTTCGAAAATTTACAATGCATGCAAGGCATACGGACTTTCCAAACACTCATTATAGTTTCTGGACATGTTATGTTAGCGCTAACACAGAAACATATTCGAAACACGGGAGAAATTGAATACGTAAGTTTTCTTTTGACAACTATTTAAAATAGTTCTAAAATTAAATATATACTTTTCAGTACTCAAAAACTTTGTTATATCAATGTTGGACAACATTTTTCATGTTAGTAATGCAAACTTATCTCGTTATGTCATCTTGGCTCTGTACTAACCAAATTATGGAAATATTTAAACAAAACCGTGAATTTTCTTTGAGAGACGCTGTCCTACTTTTAGTTCATAGATGTGCTAGGTAAGGCAAATAAGTACAGCTAGAGCAATAATGTGGTAAAATGTTATTTGCTTAGGTTTTGGCCAGTTCTTTTTGTAATGATCTTTATTGGCATACCATCTATGGAAAATGGACCATCCATTTTTGAATTAGGTAACATGCAGCTTCATGCTTGCTCAAAAAATTGGTGGGCCACTTTACTATTTGTTACTAATTTTATAAACCCCTACGAGGTGGTAAGTATAGAAGTGATTTTTTTCTAATGTACTTACGTATAAGAATTATTTTTAGTGCAATCTTGTGATGTGGTCTTTATCAATTGACACCCAGTTTTACTTATGTGCAATAATATTTTTCTATGTAATACACAAGTACGGACTGAATGCGGAAATTTTTTTGGGTCTTATGTTTTTAATTACATATGCAATTAATGCATGGCAAGTTCATATCTTTGATCTTGGAACGAATTCTCCTCTTTCCTTAAAGTAAGTGTAACATTTTCCTTCGTGGATTCATTCTGTGAAAAGTTTTCAACATTTAAGACTTCTAACTCATTTGAACTTTTTCTATGACGGAAAAATACCTCACATTTACTTAGGCTTTTGGATAAATTCGAGTTCTAGCATTATCGGAATGCTATTTGGGTATCGATATTTCTGCAGAAAAGATTCTAAGCCTAAGGAAAAGGTAATTTAAAATTATCTTGAAAATAGGAAAATTAATATTTTAAGCGTATACCTATTTTTAGTCACATGAGAAATTGTTATACACTGCCTTCATTGCATTGCCTTTGTTAGCAGTCATAATATCGGAAATAGAACTTAATAAATTGTGGACTGTACTCCTGACACCCTTAGTTAAACCATTATTTGGATATGGAATCGCCATTGGTATCTATGGAATGTACAGAAATTATATTAAAGGTAGGTAATATATATTACATGCGGAGGTGGAGTGCTTCATTATTGTCGAGAGATACTGACCGAGACCGAGGTGCGAAGCGCCGAGGTAAACCAATTCTCGAGATAATATATGTGAAAACTTTCCACCGAAATATGTATACCTACTATTTTATTTCGAACCAATAATTATTGAAAAAATGGAATTTCGACTCACACTCTAACACCGACATTGACATCTTATGAAATTTCAATAATACAAACACATGTGACATCTTCTTCTTAACACAACGATTGCACCTGTATTTGTGTTTAGGTATGAAAAACCAATCAGGCAAGCCAACGATGTGTCAAATATGGCCGACTGTTGGCACCAATGAACTGTTGGCACCTTAGAGCAGGAAAGCGCTGTCCTACGGACATAAGGAGGAGGAACGCGCCATTCTGCTTATGAAACTAAAGTCAAGCCAAATATGTGCACTCGCAAGGAAATGTCCTATCACGCTCGAGAAGCGGCAAGTGCGCGGAAATGTCGGTGTATGTTGGTCTTGAAACGGTTCAGGTTGTAACCTGCAGGGAAAACCGTCGCAGGGAGTTTATTCCACAGCGATGCTGTTCTCCAGAGATATGAATTCTGATATAATGAGGTTCTTGGTGCCTCTAGTTTGACAGTAAATTCATGGTTACCGTCTGTTTGACGGGTTCGCCTGGTAGGTGCTACTCTCGGTGGAATCATACGTGCCAACTCTTCAGAGCATTTTCCGTGATAGTACCTGTAGAAGAGAGATAAATTGCCCACAGATCTGCGATGTTCGAGACCAAGTTACGAGTAAGTGCGGGGTCATTGATCAGCTTGATAGCTCGTTTTTGCACGGTATTCAAAAGCATTAAGGTATGTTTGGGTGCTGCACTCCATATATGTGAGCAGTACTCCATAGTTGGTCGAATCTGGGCTTTGTAGAGTGTCAGCAATTGGCTTGGTGTGTACAGATGTCTTGTACGAAATAGCACCCCTAGCTTTTGGGACGCCCTTTTAGCAATATCTGCCACGTGACTGTGCCAAGACATGTTGGTCTCTGCAGTAACCCCCAAGATGTTCAACTGAGTCTGTAATGTGACAGCACTTCCAGATAGCATGATGTTTGGCTCACCGGTGCTGGTCTTTTTTGAAAACAGAGCTGCTTGGGTTTTCTGCGCGTTGAACTGTACAAGGTTTTTGTTACCCCAGTCCTCTATTATCTCCAGGTCGTTATTTATCTGCGATATTTGAGTTAGTCTAAGATGATGGAATTCACGTGCGGAAAGACCTGTGGGTGGTATGAGTGAGGAGACTACATTGCCATCGTCTGCAAAGCAATAAAGTGGATTTACTGTTTTATCTATGAGGTCATTTATGTAAATCAGGAAAAGAGTTGGCGAAAGGATTGCTCCCTGTGGCACACCAGCATTTATTTGGTAAGAGTTGGAGTTCTGGCCATCCAGTGCAACATAAATGGATCTGTCCTTTAGGTAACTTTCAAACCAAGTGCAAAGTTTCGGCGATAATCCCATTGCTTTGAGCTTGTTGAGCAGATTTTCATGCCAAACTTTGTCGAATGCTTTAGATATATCTAAGGCAATTGTTCTTGTTTCACCCCGCAACTCAATCGCTTTTTGCCATAAGTGAGTGACGTATGTAAGTAAATCGCCGGTTGACCTATATTTTCGAAATCCGTATTGCTTATCGTTGATAATTTTGTACTTTTCCAAGTACTTGGTTAGGTGATTGTTCACAACTCTTTCCATTACTTTTGATATCACCGGAAGTAGAGCAATTGGTTACCGTCTGGTCTATAGTTTAACGGATCTGTCTTTTTTCCCTTCTTTGGAATGGGTTGTACTGCGGCAGACTTCCATGATGATGGATATACTCCTTGACTGTAAGACAAATTGAATAATTTTGCGAAAGTTGGGGTGAGTTCGTTGGCGCAATTTTTGAGTACTATTGCGGGAATGCCATCCGGACCCATTGCTTTGTTTGTATCCAGCTTTTTTAGGGATTTTCGTATTTCTCTGTGACAAAAGGGTACCTCTGGCATACTATGGGAAACCCTTTCAATGAACGGTGGAGTTTTTTCGTTTGGCACTGTTAGGTTGGAGTTGGAGGAAAACATTTGGGCAAGCATATTGGCTTTTTCCTCTGATGTTGTGGCTAAGTGATTATTTTTATGTGTAAGTGGTGGTATGGATGACTTGGTGAAATTAGATCCAACAGCTTTTGCAAGAGACCAAAAAGACCTAGAACTACTTGGACAATTCAGCAACCTGTTTTTTATTCTTTGATTGTATGTTTCTTTAGCGGAGTCAATAGTAATTTTGCAACTATTTCTGGCTTCTATAAATTCTGTGTGGTTTTGAGCGGTTTGTTGTCGTTTCCAAAGGTTATATGCTCTGTGTTTTTTCTGTACAGCCGTTTGACACTGGCTGTTGAACCAAGGTTTTGCATTAGCTCTACGTTTAGTTGTATGTGGGATATATGCGTCCATTCCAGATAAGATTACTTGTGTTATTTTATTACAGCAAATAGTGGGATCAGCTGTTTTAAAGCAAACCTCTTGCCATGGAAAATCCAGGTAATACTGTTTTAGGTCATTCCATTTTGCCGATTTATAGTGCCACATTTTACGAGGAAGTGGCTGTAGGCTTGGTGGGATGAGCATTTCGCACTTTGTTATTATAAGTTTATGATCGGACGAACCAAGTGGAGCATCTACTTGAATTGTGTACGAGTCAGGATTGGTGTTTAGGAACAAGTCTAAAAGCGCTGCAAATTCGCCCCTTTCTGAGATACGGGTAGGTTCATCGACAAGCTGCGTTAGACCACAACTTATGGCAAAAGCTTCTGCTTCTCTGCCTTCGTTATCTGTTTTGTTGTGGTGTTTCAGCCAGGGTATATTGTGGACGTTGAAATCGCCTAAAAAGACAATTTCCGCCTGTGGATAGTTTGACTGTATACTATCACAGCTTTCGGATAATGTCGCGAAAAAGTTTTGGTAATCGGTGTTACTTGGCGGTCGGTAGAGGCAGCAGATAAACTTGGTCGATGACTTTGAGGTGAATTTAAGCCATATGATATCAAGGTTCGCTGGTTCTAGCTTCTCCTCTCGATGACATGAAAGGTCATTTTTAATGTACACACAGATCCCAAAATTATGTCGAAATCGGTGGTGTAGGTCATAGCCGGGATAAAGATAGTTCACAATAGGTGTTGCAGAACTGATTTTAGTTTCAGTGAGAACAAGGATGTCAGGTCTTTGTTCTTCAAGATTTTGGTGAACTGAATTCATATTTGTACTTTTTGGCAGGTGTATGGCACCAAGATACAGGTAAAGCATTGAATTGCCATAAGCGCCATTTTCTTGGGCCAAAATACCTGGAAAAAAACGGCTTCATTTTCCAAATCCAGGTTACTACTCCTCTTTACCTTTACCTGCTCTAAGGTTGGCACACATATGCCCATAACCCTAAATTTAATGTGTCATCAGTCATCGTTCCTTGTGTTTACCCAGGCCCTACGATCTCTCATTGCCAGTTATAAACCACATAAAGAACACGTCCGATGTCGATAACATTGACATGAGATTGACATGTCAACATATGACAATATGCCAAAATATTCATTTGATCATAACTAATAATTCATAATGTTTTTTGTTCGCCGGTCTTGCATTTCATCTTTCTTTGTGTTGTCAAGTGTTCTTAAGTGATTTCAAAGTTGTTTTGTGTGTTTCAAGAAGAACGTCAAACTTTATAGATTGGAAGATCTATTTTTATCTTTGTTGATTAGATAAATGACAGGTTCAATTAAACTTTAATCAGAACTTTGAATAAATATGTTAAGGATACCCTTAACCATCGATAAAGAAACTGTCTTTTGATCTAATTAACAAATTATCAATTGATTTAAGCCTCAAAGTCCAGAATAAACGAATTTGAACAGACCGACTTTAATGCGAACAAGGCGCCATCTATCATAAAAAGTCCTTTGTAAAGTAGGGGTCTGTAGCATCGATGCAAAACCAGTAAATAGTGATTTTCCGATATGGTAGATGGCGCTGGCTTGGCTCAATTTTGTTGACAACAAAATTTACACTGAGATTCCATTCTCGACAGTTTATATAGTATTTATCTCTGTGTTTACCTTTGACGTTGAGAATCTTAAAATAATTAATTTCAGCTTTTAACAAATTTCCTTTCAAAATATTTCTAAATTATTGTGAATGTGCGTTTTTTAGGTCTCAAAACTCACAAAATTAAGCAATAAGCAGCAAAATACGTAGTCAACACAGAAAACGACACACCGTGCATTCGGTATTTTAATCAGAGCTCTACGAGATTAAATTTACCGTTCGTTTATTCAAAAAGTGTACTCGGAGCAAGCTCATTTGCGTTCGTTTATTAAAATTTCGGGCACTCGGATACTGCGTTCAACTGCTCTGTTCGCTCGATGGTCACGTGATTACGGCTCCGCTTAGCACGCTCTGCTCTTTGAGCAAAATACCGAACGCAAGGACAATATTAAACCAAGAAAATCCAATGAAATAAAACCAAAAACTGGAATGCTAACACATAAGGACGAACGTGAAGCCTAGTGCGGCTGCTGCGGAGGGGATACCTGTTTTTGTCGCACTCATTATGTTAAATGGCGAAAATTGCTTCCAACACGTATTCCAATTGATGAAACCTGTGAAGGGAAATATGACAAAACTTTCGAAAACGTCATATGTCAGCGAGCAACAGAAAAAAACAACATTCCCCCTTGTGGCATCTGTCTTTCATTGCTTCATTTTTTTGGCAGATATGGCAATGTGTGCGCATTCCAGTTTTTAGCTATAGTTCATTGAGAAAATCTTTTGTGTGCCAACAATCCGTCAAAAAAAGTCACGTGGTTTGGATTGCCTAATTTAGCAGGCCGAAAGTGAGTTCACCAGACCGAAAGTGCCAGGAGAACTGTCACTTTCGGCCTGCTTTAAAGTAAACAAAAGTAAAATGACATTTTCGAACTTTCAAACCAGTAGGAAATGTGAAAATTACATATATGGTTCAAAATAATAGTATATTACATACCTACCGAGGTGGAAAGTGTTTCATTATTATTATTTTTTTTTTTTTTTTTTTTAAATTAGTCGAAATAATTACCAATTACCGTGACAAGTATATTAAACACATCTTCCAAGTGAGTCCTCGCAAAACTATCTCCATCAGTCTTTCAAGAGTGACAGGTGCATTGATAATCCAAACGGCATAATGTCGACCTGACAGACCGTATCCATCAGTGACGGCCGTCTTCTTTTTATCTTCTCTATCAAGTCCTACCTGCCAATATCTACTTTTCAATTCTAGAGCCTAGAGCTGAAACTTCCATCCTGATGCCATCAGGATAGGTTGATAAGGGTATCGTCAAACTTTGAGGTAATGGATGGGTGTCCTTCTTTGTAACGTCATTCGACATTCAACTTTCTTCATATAGGTAATCTACACATAATCTTGCGAAACCATCCTTTTTGTTAACAACGACTAAAACTACCACCATAGAATGGACTGATTGGATTGTTCTATGACGGCATTCTTCACCAATAAGTTGGTGTCGCTTTGCGTCTTCATGATGCAAAATATTTTAATAGATTGGTCTGTGCAATAATTTTATCTTGCATTCTTCTTTCATAAAATTAATGGTTTTCCCCGTCTCATGCTGGCCTGAATAAAGCGGCGTTTCCACATGCAGAGTTTATTGGCGCCAGGCGACTGGCGTAACTTTTCTGGCGGTGGAAACTCGGAAAATTAGCTGGCGCCAGTTAACTTGCGCCACTTATTCATGCGCCAGTAAAGTAGAATCGAGGTCTACTTTTTGGCGCCAGTTTGCCATGTGTGACAGTTTGTCAAAAAAAAATACAAAGGTTTTCACAATTCGTTTTCAGAAAAGTAATGAAATCGTCAAGTAAATCTAAAAAATTGCACATATAAAGTTTATGGAAGAGCATCCCTGTTTGTGGAATCACAAACTTTTGTGTTACAAAGCTAGAAATAAACGGGATGATGCTATAAGAATAAGTGTTGACGTATTGTGCGAGTTCTCGTGTTCTTAAGTGGTTTTGATATCACTGCCGCCGAAAGCAAAATAAGAAGCTTTGGAAATTCCTCATGCGGTTTCCATCCGTTAACTCAGTAAATTATTTGATGCTCCTAGAGCTTTTCTGCGCGAAATCCATTTTCGCACCCAGATCTTATGCTTATGTTTCTTTTTCTTGTTTTTTCGGGTCTTCTGCAATAATTCTAGAAACAAAATATTCACAGCAACATTAAAGTTGACGCCATTTTTAATTTTTCTACTGCGCCAGTTAAAAAAATTTGATATCAAGTGGAAACAGATACTGGCGCCACTATTATTACGCCAGCAAACTGGCACGTGGACTGGCGCCAATAAACTATGCTTGTGGAAACGCCGCTTAAATTCAACTCTTCTTAAAATTCTTCATGATATATTGAGATATTTTATAAACTATAAAAGTATAGTTCTAAAGGTTTGCAATTTCTACCTCAAGTAAATTCTATTGTGTGTATGTACGTACATCGAAAATAGTTGATAGTGTGCAAACATTGTGGTTTTTAATTTTTTTTACAGGTTATTCCAAATTACTATGTGAGAACAAATTTGCTGTGTTTTTGGGAAATTTCACATTTTGCGTATACGTTTTCCATTTTATACCAGTTTTTAGTAGAAACGCCAGGAGTACATATACATTAGTGTTAAATGTGCCCGTTTTGGTAAGAAGACATCTATTTTATTAAGCAATATTTTCTAGGACTGATATTTTGTTTAGATACCAGCAATAATAAAGGATTCCATTAAATCGTGGATAATAGGAGTGATAGCATGTGTAATATTAGAACAACCTGGAATCGCCTTAAAAAACCTAATTTTACCATCCATGAAAAAGAAGCGACAAAGCTTTAGGTATTATTGTAATGAAAATCTAAATGAAATTGGGAAATATAGAAATCATTAAATAACTATGTATCATATTATTCAATTTTCGCAACCTATACTGGGTGACAATGAAACTACTACTCACGGCGGCATTTCTTAACGGCTCGAGATAGAAATATGCAACTTGGTTTGTGGATAGGGTTGAAAATTGTGAGCAATTTTAATGTAAAAACAATTGAACGTCTTTTCCAGTTTCACAGGAAATGGCATTGACTTTGTTATTTTAAATGGGACATCCTGTATATTCAATTTTTTTTGGACTCTCTGAACAATTCTAAATAACTTTTGTCTGATATACCCTATGTCAAAAATTGATAGTTTTTGAAATAGAGTGGCTCAAAAATATGTCGTAATTCCTATTTGTTTGTATTTTACGTAAAAACTGCCATTTCCGGTAAAACCGGAAAAGACATTTAATTGTTTTTATATTAAAATAATTTACAATTTTCAACCCTATCAACAAACCGAGTTGCATATTTTTATCCCGAGCCGTTAAGAAATGCCGCCATGGGTAGTAGTACGCATTTTAAAGTATATCTACACTCCCTCAATCGCACTCACGCCGTTAACGCATAATGAACAGGTATTAAGGGGGATGCGAATAATAAAATTCTTCAGGAATAAGCGTGATGTGAAAAAATGAGAGACAGCTTGAAGATTCTCAGGAAGGTGTGATAAATGAATACTTACCGTGCTCGAAGTGAGCTCTACTTTGCCGATGATATTTTGAACCGTGCCGTTTCGATACCAAAGTTATATGAAAAAAAATGATGTGGGGCTAACTTGACGCTCAGCCCACCCAAAATTTTGAAAAACAGATCAGACAAAAATAAATTACTATGCAATCTGAAGTGTGCTGAACTGTCCTGTATAAGGTTTTTTTCAGTGGCGCAGCTAGGCGTCGGCGACGTCGGCGACGGCCGACGGCCTCGCGCCCTAAGAAGCCTCGCAAAAAATAGGTTACCGAACCTAAAAATTGATAGTTTTCGGTTTCCCAAAATAAAACGTAGAGAACAAATAAACTTAACCTTATACGAAACTTCTAAATATCATAGAATTCCCTTAGGGCCGGTTCCTCAATAGCGAGTCACCCCCGGGTTAAGCATAACTCCATGGTAAACATAGCAACTGGACACGCTTACCCTGGACACAGATCACCTGAATACAGATGTGTAAGTAAGTATCCTTGCCATCGAGTCGTCGAATCAAAGCTACGAAACCACGGCTCCGCAAGGAGGCTAGCCGCCTGATGCATAGGCACAGATCGTCCACATCAGGACATTTATAGTTCGCGAGCGTGTTCCAGCGTGTTGTGTTTACATATAACCTTGAATCATGAATTCACCGCTCTTTTGCATCTGTATGTAGGTATGATCTGTGCCCTGGAGTTAAAACCATTCCGAAGATGACTCGCTTTTGAGAAACCGCTCCTTATAAGCTTATTAATTCTACTGCAAATTAACCTAGAACTCTCAAATCATATGTTTTTTTTTTCGGTAGATTGTTGGTATTTCGATAAATCGGTAAATGTGGAAAGGTTCTTATCACGTATTGTTGTTGAATTCAATTGATTAGCACTTTTTCTAACTGGCAACCGACCGAGATATTAGACATTAAAATATGATTACCATTCGTACAGTATTTCGATGTATTGTACAGTTGCAGTGAGCATTAAAAATGGGACACCCGATTTTTTCTATTGTAGAACGGGCTCATCAGCTACACCGTCGGCAATCACAGGGATTGTCATATTTGACAAAAAAATCTGTTGTAGAGAAAATACTGATTCACCCAAAATAGCAAAAAATGACAAGACCTGTCAGTCGGGTATTCCACTTTTAATGCTCACGCCTGTACCTGTGACTGTACATTCTTGTAAATTTTGAAATTTTGAAAGTCTGTCCAACATTTGATTTTGTGAGAAATTTTTTTTTGGTTGGAAGGATTTGTTAGCGGAAAAATATTCATATTTTTGACGGCTACCCATCCCTGTCTTTTATATCCAGTTTTTTGTCAGAAGAAATTTCTCCCCCCTTCATAAAAAGGGCCTCGCAATTCGTATGTTGCCGACTTCCACGTTTGGTTTGGCTACGCCACTGGTTTTTTTCAAAATTCCCATATTCGGTCATTTTCCAGTAGTAATATAACTAGTGCATAAAATATTTCCGGAAATTTTTGAAAATTTTGTCTGAAGCCATGTCTGAAAAAATCCCGAACCCGAAGGGTGAGGGATTTTTTCTTTGGCGCTATGCACGAATGGTTTTGTTTAAAAAAATTGGCTAAAGACGAAATTTCATAAAATTTCCTTTGGGAAATATTTTATGCACGTGTTATATTTTGATAGGAAATTTCCCGAGTTTGAAGTTTATTTACTACGTTGTGTCGATTTTTTTTATTGCTGATTGTTATCGATCTTTCCCATTTAAATTGCGTTTGTCAAAAATATACACTTTGACAGATTTCTGACATCAATGCGTTTTAAATGGAAAAGCGGGCATCAATGTCAAAAATGACAGTGGAAATTGCACCCGGAAATATCCCGCTCACCAGGGATATTTCCACTTATCAATTTTTGAAAATTACGAGGTAAATTTCCAGCTAAATATGCACAAGGGATATTTCCGATAAAATCCCACGGGAGGCTAACTTGATGCTCAGCCCCCCCAAAATTTTGGAAATCAGATCAAACAAAAATGATTCTTATGCAATATGAAGTGTGCTGAACTGTGCTGTATCAGGTTTTCTCCAAAATTTCCATATTCGGTAATTTTCCGAGAAAATCCTACTTGGTATTTTCCATTTTTTAGATTCACTTACTGGCGCATAGATAAGGCGCCAGTAAAGAAAAGTTGCGCCGCGCCGGTCGACTGGGCGCCAATAAACTATGCATGTGGAAACGCCTCTAAAGGTGCGTACAGACATGCAACAGAACGCCGTAACGTAACTTCACCGCGTAACAAGTACGCGACATATCTGGACCGTACTCTGCAACATCGTAGCAGTACAGCAACCGCGTAACACCGTAACATCGCAGCGTCCCATCGGTTGTCGGTAAATCGACACCGCATCAAAGAAATGTTCGCGGCGATGTTGCACTTGATTTTTTTAGTCTGGACGTGCTTGCGAACCCGGTGCCGTTGTTTTGGTTTTGCCCTTTTGTATTTCCACTATTTCCAGTCAAATTCAGTTGCTATTTTGATTTCGATAGAAATGGAGTGGACGGAAGACAGTGTGCTTGAGTTTATCGAAATTTATAGAGGGAAGGAAATTTTATGGAATAACAAACATCCCAGATATTTTAATAAAATTCAGAAAAATGATGCGTGGGAAGATGTCGCAAGAAGTGTAGGTGCTACGATTGACGAGTGCAAGAAGAAAATTAGTGCGTTGCAGTCAGCGCTGAGGCGGGAAAAGTCAAAAATTAAAAAAAGCATGGGCACCGGAACAGGTAAAGTTTTATTAATTAATTAAATTTTTTTGACACTTCTAACAGCCAATTTTTTTAACAACTTTCTCAAGCTTGTTGCCTTCAACAAGCTTTCGAAACCTGTTAAAAAAATGTTTTCGAACAATTATCAATGTCCTTGGGTTGTTACTACTGGTATAGTTTTTCCAAAGTCAATTGGAACAAGGTAAACATAAATCATACTGGTGGCCGGCTGACTAGTGGCAGTGGCGGCAGTGCATTTCTTATGGAACTTTCCAGTGACCATCAGTCAGCCACCAGTTGGTACCTTGTTCCAATTGACTTTTGTAATAGTATAATATGAATTGATTAATATACTATTATTTCAATTGTAGGGCGTTCCGATGTGTATGAAAGTTCTTGGTTCGCATTCAAGAGCTTGCTATTCCTGTGGGACAAAAACAAAGTACGCAATACTCAAAGCTCTGTAAGTGTTTATTTATTTATTTATTTATTTTTTTCAATATTATTTAAGTATATTTATCTTGCCACAAAATCCGCCCTTCATTTTGAAAGAAATCAGCCAATTCTTCTCGAATTGCTTTAGCCTGTATGGATGGTTTTCTGGGAATATTTCTGAGAGGAAGTAGCGAAGTAGTTGGTTCATTACTTGAAGCTCTCGCTCCATCGACAAGTTTTCCCTCTACTTCCGTATCGAATGTTCCGTTTGGTGTATACAAGTGACAGGAGGAGGAACTTTTCCTTAAGAAATTATGTAAGTGAGCTATTGCCATTACAATGAGCTCAGCCTTTTCAGGACTTAGCAGCATGGGTTTCCGGAGTGCTCTAAATACTGCTGAAGCAATACCAAATACATTCTCTACGACTCTTCGCGCGCGAGATAATCTATAATTATAAACCCTTTGTAATGATCCTTTGGGGTGAATTCCCGAAAACGGTTTCATTAATGTATCAGTGAGAGCAAACGCCTCATCTCCAATGAAAAAATAGGGAATTTCGCGTTGTCTACCATCCAAAGCTTCAGCTAGTGGCAATCTTAACTCATTTTTTTCTAGTTTTTTGAACAGGGAACAATTTTTGAAAATGCCACCATCAGAAATTCTTCCTTGGCCTCCAGCATCAACATACAAAAAGTTGTAATGAGCATCTACTACTGCAAAAAGAACTATGCTGAATGTCGATTTGTAGTTAAAAAAATCGCTTCCTGTATTAATAGGTGCTTGCAAAACGACGTGTTTTCCATCGATTGCCCCTAGGCAGTGCGGAAAGTTCCAAATATCGTTGTATTGTTTTGCTACTTGTAACCACCCCTCTGATGTTGTTGGTATCTGTAAAAAATATCGTTTTCAGAAACTTCAAAGAATAATGATTCTACTAACTAAAAAACCTTGAATTTATGACCTGATCTACAAGACATTTCTTTCCCAACCCAGAAAACTATTTTGTCATATTATCGAAAAAATATCAACAGAACTTTTTATTTGGTTGCAGATTGATAAAGAAACAGACGAAAGTAATGATGTAGATGATGATACCGCTTTGCAAGATATGAATCCGGACTCTGAGGAGCCCCAGAAGACTAACGACATACAAGAGCCTGACGAGACTGAAGAGCATCATGA